AGCTGCTGACTTTGTGTATGTCTATTAATTTTCTGGCTGTATTTATAGGGAGCCCCTCAGTAACACAGCCACCCACTGCCTGCGCAGCCTGTCATCTGGCCCCTCCTGTTTGGTGGTGTCCAGTGGAGCTAGGGATATAGAAAGCAACATTATGCTGACTGATTTTGCATCTGTATAAGTAATAAACTGTCTGAATTCATTTGGGCTTATCGTCTTTTTACTGGCCTAATATATGACATTGTGATAAACTGCAGTAGAGATTTCTATACCCCTGTTAGCCAGTATGCTGTTGCTTTGGGACCATTTGACAGTATGTTGGGATGTTGGGATGCTTGATGATACCCCTATTGGGTTAAATAGTGTTCCCCAGAAGTTCATGTCTACCCAGAACCTCAGAATGTGACTTTATTTGGAAATAGGGTCTTTGCATATGTAAATCAAGTCAAGATGAGGTTATAATGGATTAGGTTGGGCCCTATTCCAATGACTGCTATCCTTATAAGAAGAAAGAAATTTCTTTGCAGTGGCATACATGGAGGGAAGATGATGTAAAGATACAAAGGGAGAAGAACATGTGATTGGAATGATCAGTCTACAAGCCAAGGAATGTCAAGATTGCCAGCAACCACCAGAAGCTAGAATTAGCAAGAAAGGATTTTCCCCTAGAGTCTTTAGAGAGAGTGTAGGCCGACTGACACCTTGATTTTGGATTTCTAGCTTCTAGAGCCATGAGATAATACATTTCTGTTGTTTTAAGTCATCAGTTTGCAGAACTTTGTTAGAGTAGTCTTAGGAAATGAGTACAGTGGTATACATGAACATCAACACGTGTTACACATGAGACATGAACAGGTCTCTGAGGCTCTTTTCATCTTTATTCAATATGTGTTTATTTCTATTGTATTGGATCATTTCCATTAATCTACCTTCAAGTTCACTGATTCTTTCTTCTGTCATCTAAAAAGTCTGTTGTTGAGCCTCTTTAGTGAATTTTCCATTTCAGAGAGTTACTGAACTTTTCAACTCTAAAATTTCATTTGGTTCTTTTGCATGATTTCCATCTCCTTACTAAGATTCTTTATTTGTTGAGTCATTGACTTCATATTTTTCTTGACTCTTTAAACATTGTTTTGTTTAGTTCTCTGAACATAATTATTTGTTTTAAAGATTTTGCCAGCTAAATTCAACACCTGGGTCCACTCAGAGACCATTCCTCTTGACTAAATTTTTTTTTATTGAGTGTGGATCATGTTTTCCTATATCTTTGCATGTCTCATAACTTTTTGTTGTTCCAGACTGGATAATTTAGGTAACATATTGTAGCAGTTCTGGACTGTGATGTCTCCTGGGAATGGTTATTGTTGCTGCTTGTTTGTTTAGCAGTTTACCTGGACTAAATCAGTGGATGCTGTCTCCCTTGTGATGTGTGGCTACTGGTGTCTTTCTTCAGTTTGTAAAATATTATTTTGTTTTAAGCCTGGATTCCTAGGGGTTGCTTCTCTTTCTTCACATTAGTGGTCAGCTGATGTTTGGTCACAGGTTGTGCTCAAACACCTTATATTAGTTTTTCTGTTGCTGCCGTGTACCACAAGTTTAAGTGTCTAAACAACATAAACTTACTATTTTAGTCCTCTATGGGACTCACTGAGCTAAAATCATGTCATTGGCAAGGCTGCATTCCTTCTTTTTTTTTTTTTTCAACCTCCACCTCCCGGGTTCAAGTGATTCTCATGCCTCAGCATCCCAAGTAGCTGGGATTACAGGCACCCTCCATCATGCCTGGCTAATTTTTGTATTTTTAGTAGAGATGGGGTTTCACCATGTTGGCCAGGCTGGTCTCGAACTCCTGACTTCAAGTGATCCACTTACCTCAGCCTCCCAAAGTGCTGGGATTACAGGCGTGTCACTGTGCCCAGCCAAGGCTGCATTCCCTTCTGAAGGCTCTGGAAAAGAATCAGCTTTCTTGTTTTTTCCAATTTCCAGAGGGCATTAACATTCCTTGTCTATGGCTTATGTTCTCCATCTTCAAAGCCTGCTTTTAAAGAGTCCTGTGACTAGATTGCGCCCACCAGGATAATCCAAGATAAACTATCTCAGTGTCCTTACCCTTCATCCCATCTGCAAAGTTCCATACACCCTTAACATAATCATAGGTTATGGGATCAGAACTGAACATCTTTGTGGGGTGGGGAAGAGAGGACTTTATTCTGCCTACACAGACCTCAAGCTAGTGAGGCTTCTATACACTTCTGTCAGATCTATGTGGGTTATCAAAGTTCAGGAAGTTTTCAGGTCAGCTCTGGCCGTTACTCTCAACTAGATCATCTTTCAGCTTCTCTGCATGTGCTCTGTATCCTGGTGTGCCAGGGATCTGTGGAGCCCCTTTAGGACAATCTGATTTCCTGGATCTCCTTGTTAACTTTCTGGTTAGTCTACAACCAGAGCTGCAATCTCAGGTTAGTAGAACTGCTGGCTTTCCCAGTTTACTGGTCACCACGATTGCTAGCTTTATTGACAGGGATGATGGGTGTGGATTTTTTTTTCCCCTTCCATTCCAAACCAAGTGAGTTCTCTCTGCAGCAAAGTTGCTGGTTCTTACAGCCAGTCCCATTGGGCTAGAACTACCCTGCTGATCAAGCTGGACAGGGGTGGGGAGGGTGAAAGCAGCCTCAGTCTGAAGCTTGAATACCACAAACTTCCGCAGTTCCCCAAATTTAGCAGTTTTTCATGAATACAAACTTTATTTGCAATGTGGCTCTGTTTGATTTTCAGAGCCCTGAATCATTGTTTTTGACAGTTTTGATTTTAGTATTTAGAGTTGTTTTCTGGGGAGAAGATTTGCTAACCTCCTCATTTTGCCATACTGGAAGTCTCTCCTGCTTCCTAATTGGAGGGTTTAGTTCCAATATTATTACATTTAGAATATTTAATTATATTGTTGGTTTCTCAATATTTTTTCTTAGTATTTGATGACTTCTATCTGTATCATCTGTTTATTTGTCCCTCTTTTCCTCCTTTCCTGCCTTCTTTGGGATAATCAAATATTTTTTAGCTGTCCATTTTAATTTATCTATTGACTTTTTAACTGTAATTTTTTTTGTATTTTTTTATTTTTTAGCTTTGATTATCCCATTTTAATTTATCTATTGACTTTTTAACTATGATTGTTATTTGGTATTTTTTTTTAGTGCTGCTCTAGGCAACATACATATCTTTCATTTATCAAATAGATCTTTAACTAATATTGCATCACTTCCTATGAAATGCAAGGACCTTGCAACAGCAAGAGAGCACTTACCGGAACCCACCTTCTGTGCACTACTGACATACGGGTATTCCTTGTTTCATTGCACTTCACTTTATGATGCCTCTCAGCTACTGTGTTTTCTTTACAATAGAAAGTTTGTGGCACCCCTGCATGGAACAAGTCTATTGGTGCCATTTTCCTCAACAGCGTGTGTTTACTTTATGTCTCTGTCACATTGTGGTAATTCTCTCAGTATTTCAAACTTTTTCATTGTTGTCTATCTGTCATGGTAATCTGTGATCAGTGCAATCTTTGAGATTATTGCTGTACTTGTTTCGGAGCACCATGAAGCATGCCCGTATACAATGCTAAACTCGATCCATAAAAGTTGTGAGTGTTTTGATTGCTCCACCGACTGGCCATTCAACCTCTCTCCTCCTCTCCTTGGACCTCCTTAGTCCCTGACACAGAACAAAATTGAAATGAGGCCAGTTAGTCACCCTACAATGGCCTCTAAGGGTTTAAGTGGAAGGAAGAGTTGTACATCTCTTACTCTGTATTAAAGGTAGAAATGATGAAGCTTAGTGAGTAAGGCTCACTAGTGTCTTTCACGGAGGTTGAAAGCTTTCACTAATGTCGAAAGCAGTGATATGCCGAAACCTAGGCTTTTTGTACCAGTTGAAAGTCCTTGAAGGAAGTTAAAAGTGCTACTCCAGTGAACACACGAATCATAAGGAAGCAAAACAGCCTTATTACTGATATGGAGGAAGTTTTTATGGTAATATTGGTAATATTGTGGAGGAACTAGCCACAATATTACCTTAAGCCAAAGCCTATTCCAGAGCAAGCCCCTTCCATTCTGCGAAGGCTGAGAGAGGTGAGGAAACTGCAGGAGAAAAGTTTGAAGTTTAGCAGAGATCGGTTCACAGGTTTAAGGAAAGAAGCCATCTCTGTAACATAAAAATACACAGCGAAGCAGCAAATGCTGATGTAGGAGCTGCAGCCAGTTATTAAAACATCTAGCTAAGGCGTTGATGAAGGTGGCTACACTAAATGACAAATTTTCCATGTAGATCAAACAGCCTTTTATTGGAAGAGATGCTATCTAGGACGTTTATAGTTAAAGAGGAGAAGTCAGTGGCTGGCTACAAAGCTTCAAAGAACAGGTGGACTCCGTTGTTAGTGGCTACTGCCGCTGGTGATAGTAAGTTGAAGCTAGTGCTCATTTACCATTCTAAAAATCCTAGGGCCCTTAAGAAATATGCTAAACCTAATCTGCTTGTGCTCTATATAGGTGAAACAACAAAGCCTAGATGACAGCACCTCTGTTTACAGCATGGCTTTTAAGATATCTTAGTCACACTGTTCAGAACTATTGCTCAGAATAAAGATTCCTTTCAAAATATTAGTGGTCACTGACAATATACCTAGACACTCAAGAGCTTTGACGGAAATGTACAAGGGGGTTAATCTTGTTTTCAAGCCCAGTAACACAATATTCACTGTGCAGTGCATGAATCAAGGAGTAATTTTGACTTTCTAGGCTTATTATTTAAGACATACATTATGTATGGCTATAGCAGCCAAGAAGTGATTCCCCTGATGGGTCTGGGCAAAGCAAATTGAAAACCTTCTAGAAAAGATTCATCCTTCCAGATGCCATTAAAAATATTCATATTCATGGGAGGAGATCAAAATAACATTAACAGTGATTTGGAAGAGGCTGATTTCAATTCTCATTATTTTCTTTGAGGAATTCAAGATGTTAGTGGAGGAAACAACTACAGATTTGGTGGAAATAGTAAGAAAACTAGAATTGAAAGTGGAGCCTGAAGATGTGACTGAATTGCTGTAATCTTATGATAACATTTGAATGGAAGAGGAGTTGCTTCTTTTAGAATAAAAAAGTGAGTTTTTTTGTTTGTTTGTTTTGTTGAGACAGAGTCTTGCTCTGTCACCCTGGCTGAGTGCAGCGGTGCAATCTCAGCTCACCACAATCCTTGCCTCCTGGGTTCAAGTGATTCTCCTCCCTCAGCCTCCTGAGTAGTTGGGACTACACGCATGTGCCACCACGCCTGGCTAATTTTTGTATTTTTAGTAAAGATGGGGTTTCACTATGTTGGCCAGGCTGGTCTCGAACTCCTGCCTGTCTTGGCCTCCCAGAGTGCTAGAATTACAGGCGTGGGCTATCCCACCCACCCAAAAATGTGTTTTTGAGTTGGAATATACTCCTGGTGAAGATGCTGTGAACATTGCTGAAATGACCACAAAGGATTTAAATATTACATAAACTTGGCTGTTAAAGCAGTGGCAGAGTTTTAGAGGATCAACTCCAATTTTGAAAGAAGTTTGACGGTGGGTAAAATGCTATCAAATAGCATCCCATACGACAGAGAAATCATTTGTGAAAGGAAGAATCAATTGATATGGCAAACTCCATTGTTGTCTTATTTTAAGGAATTGCTACAGCCACCCCAACCTTTAGCAACCAGTATCCTGATTAGGCAGCAAATTTTAATTTCTTTCAAGAACTTTTTCCCCCCTTTTTCTTTTTTAGACATAGGGTCTCATTCTGTTGCCCAGGCTGGAGTGCAGTGGTGTGATTATAACTCACTGCAGCCTCATACTCCTGGGATCAAGAGATCCTCCTGCTTCAGCCTCCCAAGTAGCTAGGATTATTGGCATGCACCATCCACATACATCCACCACCTGGCTAAGAACTTTTCTTTTGCATTCACAACTTGGCTAACTGTCAGAAATCTTTAATTCTTAAAAATGTGATATCTATGAGTTGCAATAAAACAAAGTACAATAACGTGGGGTATGCCTATATACTACGACTTAGTTAACCAGTCCGTGATTGGTCTATCCATTTTTCTTAAATTTCTCTAGATTGGAAAACTGAAGCTCCCCCAAGAATCGGGGACATCCCTGGCCATTCCTCAGAAAAAATTTAACCTCTTATTTTGTACATGCATTGAGCAGTTATTGTGAGCAGGGCTCACATCCTGAATACTCTCTGGGAATATTGAGGTAGAGTTTTTGCCCATGTATACAAATGACTGCCACGTAAGGTAGATGGTAGTAAGTGGCAGAGAGACAGAGCCAGTGAGCTTAATTCTGTCTCGGTGGGAAGTAGGTCAGGGAAGGCTTCATGGTGTTGGCGATGTTTGAGTTAGATCAGAAATAAGGAAGACATCTTTTGGAAGAGGCTGCTCCAGGTGGAGGGAACGGTGTGGACAGAGGCACAGACAAGAGCCTGGATGGGAAATAGATGGGCGTGAGCCCCAGTGTGTGAAGGAAAGCAGGCTGGGGCTGGGTCACAGTGGGTATTAAGCACCAATCCAAGGCAGTGAGCAAGGACTGAGAACTTTCATGGAGTTTTGCTTGTCAAGGGCCTGTTGTAAGATTGAAAGGACTAGATTCATGGATCAAGGATATTTTCTAGAAGGAGACCTCTTATATTAAAGCACATTTTGATAAATTGATTGTAGAAAATGCTTGTCCCTTTTCTCTCACTTGTGTCCATTTCCTCTTTTGTCTGCCCTCCATCCCCTGCTCCCAGGTGTCCAGGCTGAGACTGACCATGAGCCCATACTGCCTCCCTGTGCCAGGTTCATGCATAACACTTGGCATAACCGCTGCCCTGAGGCTGGAGGGGATGGGATCAGTCTTTATTCCGAGATGCTCACCGATGATCACCATCCACATGCACTCACTGTTCTAGATGGGGAGACCGATTGCATTTGCAGTGATGTCTGGATGAGTGCTCACGTTCATTTCCATACACGGAGTCATTGTGAGGGGAGAGGAGAGGGTCTGTCTTGAGGACCTGCCACTACCAGCCTCCTGGGCACCAGGAAAGGGGCAGAGAGCTGTGCCTACTCCGTGGGATGATACATGTGTTCCTTACTTTTTTGATCAAGGGAAGCGATACTTTTTCTCTCTTCTTTTATCTTCCCTGTCCTTTTTAATTTCCATGAGAATTTCTGAATTAGTTTCTGAGTCCTTGGGAGCACTTGGTATGAGAGGAGCAGAACAGCAAAGATGGGTTCAAAGCCATCCCCAGGACATGGGAAGCTGCCATTAGCATTCAAAGCTCCCTCACTGACTGAAAGATAAAGTCCAGTGTCTTCAGCTAGACTTCAAGGCCCATCAGGATCTGACTGTTACTTGCTTTCTAGCTTCAGCTCATGACACTTTCCCTCTGTGCAGCCTGTGCTTCAATCAGAAAGCATTACGAATCCCTGCCCATGTTATTCCCTCTGCGTGGAATACTCTTTTCCACACCTTGATTCTGGCTCAAAACACCTTCTAGTACTAAAGAGGTACAACTTCCCAAATAACTAGTCCTAAGCCTGGGCATAGGGTGCAAGCAAAGAGAAATACATGTTACATCCAAAATAGCTCCTACTCTTACCTGTGGTTACAAGACCAGACTGGTGCCAACTGCTAGTCTTTAATTTTGGTCTGAGACCTCCTGCATATCCAATCCAGACTCAGATCAAATATATCACCTCTGCAGGTCTTTCCTGAGCCTGACTCCATCACATCCTCCCTGGACTCAATGATGTGTGCATATTTCAACTCAGTGTCTGTGGTGCCGGATTCAGTGGCCTGGCACCATTGTAGGCACTCAGTGAATCCATAAACCATCCCAGGTCCATTATTATGAGGTAACTAAGATGGTGGATGGATAAGTGTCTTTAAGAGGGAGAGGCTTAGCAAGAAGGAAGCAACAAAAGAGCAGGAGCAAGGAAAGCACCTTAATCTCCTAATGCATCCTCCTGCTTCCTCACCCCCCTCCCTATTGTTGTCAAGCTGGGTTTCTCTTCCTGGCTGCAGGCTTTCAATTTCCCCCTGAGTTTATACCTACATCTTCACAAACTCTGCCACTCCTCACCCCCAACCTGGGGCCAACTTTGAGAGCCAAATGCCCTGGATCAGGTTGAGCCTTTGAATACTTTCCAGCTGAGGCCCAAAGACAAGATTCAAATCCAGGATCCACAGTTTATTTATTGGTGTGGAGTCTTAGGCAAACCTTTTCACCTTTTGGAGCTTGTTTCCTTGACTGTAAAATCGACACAGTAATTGTTGATCTCCGTGCTCCTCATGTGACTTGGGTGAAAATCATATCCAACAATGGATACGAAAGAGCTTCCTAGAAATGCTGTAGATGACTATTGTTAGGATAATTGATAAAAATAAATGCATGGAATGTTGCTATTTCCTGCATTCTTTCATGAAAGCTGAGGCTAAAAGAAAGGTGAAATCAAGGGATTGAGAAATATCCCACTGGCCAATGTGTGGAACCAACTTGAAGAAAGTAAGTAAATCTTTAGGGATCTTATTATCTCTTAGCAATAACACAGAGTGGACTAGACCGAATCCACGGTATTCTTGCACCTCACGGGTAAAGGCAGTGCTGCCTAATGGTTTGGAGTCAAATTACCTGGAATCAAATCCCATCTCTGACAACTAGGTAGAGCTACGTAAGCAATAGCTTAGTCTCTCTGTGCCTCAACATCTTAGCAAAATGGGAACAATTTTAATAATGATACTTATCTAATGGCCTTGTTTCTGCTAGGTACAGCAATCCCTATAAAGCACTCTGAAGTGTAGCTGGCACACAGTCAATGTCATCTTTGATCATTTCCTCCATTAGCTTCCTGCTCACGGGGCCCGACAGTTTTGCTTTTGCTACCATCTTGAATAGAAGAATGAAGTTCAATAATAACTAGGCAGAGGGCAAGAAAACAACAGCTAATGAAAGATTGGCTGGTAACTGAGGATAGAAATGGTCTTAGCAACTCTCTAGTCCAATTCTCTCATTATAGAAATGGGAGAGCTGAAGCTGAGGGAGGAAATATTTTTCCTGAGGTTATATAACAAATTCAGTTCAATTTATTGACTCTTTTCTCATGCCTGTTACACACCAAGCATTATCCACATTTCTGTGGATAAGTGGATGAATAAGAAACAGTTCTTTGCCTTTGCAGAATATTTCCCAAAATGTATTACTTGCAAAATAAAGTTATCATGGTCAGAATTTAACTCAGAAAATGCTGTATTAAAGAAAGCAAACAGGGTTTTTTCCTTGTGCACTGCTCATCTCGGAGGCAGTCTGCCATGCATAGCATAGGACATGAATCTTCTGTTCCCCTAGAGTCCATTGGGTGGGATTTGTGCTTTGTGGCCCATCCAACAGAAATGTGGCTCTGGCTAGAAGTTCTTGGAGTAGTTCAGGGTATGGGATATATGAAAAGAGATTTAGCAATTCCATTACGGGGTGTATACCCAGAGGAATATAAATCATTCTACCATAAAGACACATGCACGCAAATGTTCATAGCAGCACTATTCACAATAGCAAAGACATGGACTGAACCTAAGTGCTCATCAATGACAGGTTGAATAAAGAAGATATGGAACATATATACCATGGAATACCATGCAGCAATGAAAAAGAATGAGATAATGTCTTCTGTGGGAACATGGATGGAACTGGAGGCTATTGTCCTTAGCAAACTAATGCAGGAACAGTCAACCAAATACCACGTGTTCTCACTTACAAGTGGAAGCTAAATGATGAGAACTTACGAGCACAAAGAAGGAAACAGCAGACACTGGGGTGGAGGGTAAGAGGAGGGAAAAGGAAACAGCAGACAACTTGAGGGTGGAAGGTAAGAGAAGGGAAAAGAGCAGAAAATATAACTATTAGGTAGTGGGCTTAATTCCTGGTTGATGAAATAATCTGTATAAGAAACCCATGAGTTTACCTATGTACATACCTTCACATGTACCCCCGAACTTAAAATGAAAGTTAAAAAAGAGATATTTATGAGAAATTTATTGGTGATGAGGCAGAGATGGGGTATGCATTAGTGTTCACGTGGACCACCCCTGAGGGCACAAAGCCCTATTCCCTCTGCTTAGTGTTTTCCTAAGGATAAAATCTCCT